TTGGTGTTTTCGAACGGAAGGTGTTGCGTACCATCTACGAGTGCAGATGGCTGACGCAACGGGGAGGAGGCGAATGAACAACGAATGGCACCAGCTGCTGGGAGAACCATCTATCGTCCACACTGAAAAAAATGGGCGACTACATTTGGCTGGGCACATCGTATGAATGCCGGTCGGTGGAATGGTTCTCAAAAGCGACCCAACAGGAACAAGAAGAAGAAGCGCGCAGCGAGCAAAGTGGATCGACCAATTAGAAGGCGACCTGCGAGCCTTTCGCAGACTACGTGGCTGGTGATGTGCGGCCTTGGATCGAGTAGAGTGGAAAAGACTTCTTCGGACAGCAGAGGACATCAAGGCCTTAGTCTGACTACAAGGTAAGTAATATTTCGTACGATGTGCATAATTATTAAGAATTTAGTTAAAAGTGAATTTCGCCATACAGTCTCAAGTCATATTTCCAGCAGCCCATACGATTGAAGGTGGCTTGCCTTGCGGTGAGTGCTTCCAGGAGCAGTATAAAGCACTCCGTTGGTTACCCAAGAGGGAATCTAGTTCCAACTACTATGACAAACTGGTTCAAACTAAAATGACATCACTGGCAGTTGGTAATCCGATCGAAAAATTCTAGTGAAAGTCGAGAAGACTGGCAAGGTGACTCAAAACCACTAAGAATTCTATGAAACTTCTCATAATTCGGCTATTTTGACTCTCGCCTAATTTGTCAAAATTGTGTATTCAATATTTTTCAATAAACCATATCAAAAACTTCATCTAATCGAATTGATTCCTGAGACAGTGAGTTTGCCAGTGTATTCACTAATGAGATACTAACTGACGACCATATTACCATAGAGGTAACTCTAAGACCAGAAGTTCCCTAAGAAACGTGCTCAATTTCTTGGCTCAGCTCTGGTACTCTCTTCGGTCCCAAGCTAATCGATGCACCCCTCAAAACATTGGAAAATCCACGAACCCCTCATTTTATCTGTCAAACTTTCACAGCGAATCAAAGCAAACATAGGGTAGTACTAGAATTTCAACTAGAATGGGGTACGTTAATCGATTTGCTTGGGACCAATAGGCTAGTCAAGTAGTGAGCCAATTTAAAATCGTTAGTTTCCATCGGTTGATGGTAGTGAATCCAGCCAAATGTTCCGCTATTACGTTCTCATGAAAACAACAACCGATAATACTTAGCTATGACCTGCTTGACTCGACAATCTAACGCCAGAATCAGGGCTGGGACTTGGGATGATTGGGATGGACTCGCAGCTATTATTCAAGTTACACATTGCATAAAGGGTGCCACACATCAAATTGCATCACTGAAAAAATGCTGTAGAAAATTACTCATTGGGAATTTTCTCTTGAAAATTTGGGTAGAAGTAGTTTAGAGTGTACTGTTTACACTGTATTTTTATCGCTGTCAGTTTTTCGTAAGATGGAAAAAATGGCGTCACCCGAAAAGCAACGTCGCGAATTGATTTTGTACAAGCACCTGGAAAATCCTCAACTCTCTCATCGGGACATCGGAAAATAACTCGGAATCGTGCAGTCAACGGTGAGTCGTGTGATTAAACGTTACTACGAAACTCTGAGCATTGAACGGAAGAAGAAATGCGGTCAGAATGGATGTTCTACTAGTGATCAGGATCACAAACGTTTTGTGAAAGCGTTTAAGCGGAATCCCAATGCTTCGGTCAGGAATGTGACCAAAAAGTTGAATCTGTCCAAGTCTTTCGGTCAGAGAGCCACGGACCGGGAGGGACTGCATACGTACAAAGTGCAGAAGGCTTCAAATCGTAACGAACGGCATAATACGGTGGGAAAGTCAGGGCTCAGAAACTGTACACCTAGATGCTAACGAAGCCTCATAGTTTCATCATGGATGCTGAGACTTACGTAAAGACGGACTTCCGGCAGCTTCAGGGGCAGATTTTCACCACCCAGCACAAGTTTGATGTTTCGGAGGAAGTAAGAAGTAAGGAAGCAGAAACTTTCAAAGATTGCCAAAAAATACATGATTTGGCAAGTGATTTGCTCATGTGGCAAACGGAGTGCGCCGTTCGTAACTACCGGGACTGTAAACAGGGAGATCTACCTCAAGGAGTGTCTACAGAAGGGTCTGCTTCCTCTGTTGAAGAAACACGAGGGCCTTACGATCTTCTGGCCAGATCTAGCTTCGTGCCACTATTCAAATGTTGTCCTGGAGTGGTACGAAGCCAACGGGGTCACTTTCGTATCCAAGGACATGAACCACCTCGAAAAATACTGGGCTATTATGAAGTAGGCACTACGGAAGCATCCCAATGAGGTCAAATCTGAGGAAGACATGAAGAAAAAGTGGGTTTCCGTACAGAAGAAGCTGCAGTCAGATGTTGTACAGAACCTAATGAGTGGAGTTATGCGTAAGGTGCGAGCGTACGGTTATGGTATTGAAGTTGAATGAAATAAATATACCAAATTCATTTCAAAATCTTCCTACGAATCTGCTCCATTGCTGACTGCCACTTTCTTCAACATCAGCTGAATGTATTCGCTAGTCGGTGCAGGTTAAACAGAATGGTAGTGAACCCAGCCAAATGCTCTGCTATTACGTTCTCACGAAAACAACAACCGATAATATTTTGCTATGACCTGCTTGGCTCGACAATCGAACGCGTGAATCAGGTGAAAAACTTGGGAGTGATCTTGGATTCGCAGCTTTCATTCAAGCAACACATTGCATATGTTGTTGATAAGGCGTCAAGAACTTTAGGGTTCATTTTTAGGATAGCTAAAAACTTCACTGATATCTATTGTCTAAAATCTTTCTATTGTTCGCTTGCTCGATCGACGCTTGAGTATTGTTCAGCGGTTTGGAACCCAAACTACAACAACGGTGCCGAGAGAATTGAATCTGTTCAACGTTGCTTTCTTCGTTTTGCGTTGCTTAGATTGCCTTGGAATGATCCGTTTCGATTACTCAGTTACGAAAGCCGTTGCCAACTTATCGACCTAGAACTTCTCCGGACTAGAACAGACACAAGCAGAAGGACAGATTGCGATGCTATCCTGAGGCAAATTGACCTGAATGTTCAACTCTGACCGCTTCATAACTACCTTATGCTAAAACTGCCTCTATGACGCATACATTATGGAGCATACGGTGTTTCTTTGAAATTTTATCAAAAATGCTAACATTTCTGAAATGAATACAATGGAAATCAAAATTCGGCAAAATCGTAGAACATAACTCATATTGCTTGAAAAATAGTTCAATAATTTTACTTAAGCAGTGTTGGAGGGGAGGGGGGTGGTGATACGCCTCACCATCCTTCTTCAACGAAGGAGTTTGGAAAAATGATCAAACCTAAAAAGTTGTCATTGCTCACTTTCCACTCTCTATATACGATTTTCACACTGCCGTCTCTATATACGATTTTCACACTGCCATACTCTAACGGAACTATCAACTCTATACTTTCATCTCCTCATCTATCGTATAAAAATTACCACTTTATTCTGTTATTTTAAATTAGCATCTTCAAATATAAAACTTGATGTTTAATGATTTTGGTCAATTTTGATTTGTTTATTATGTGCATTGAAGTAAAATTGGCATCTTATATAAGCTTTCAAATAAACATAAAGTTGAAAATCTTTAAAATTGCTGGTGAAAATTTGTATATTTTTTCTTTTCTGAAACGTTTGTCTCAAACGTCATTTCGATTAGATGAGCCGTTTTCGTGTTATGATTTATTGAAAAATATCGTATACACCATTTTGATAAATAAGGCGTGAGATAAAATGGCTGAATTCCGGCACAAACTTGCTTCATTGTCCCTAGCGAACAGGTAACTGAAGTGTCGTGGAATTACGAGAGGGACAAATAAAATCAGTTGGAGTGAAACTGCTGTGAAGAGTTGTCCGGATTTTAGTTCAAACTGGGCCCTGAGGCATGCTGAGGTCTACTGGTTCAATGAGCAAAAATAAATTAGGATTTAAAAAAAAAGTTCGTGATTGCTTCAAAAATCCAAATGAGTTATTTTTGTATATTTCTTTTATGAAAGTGCAAACTAATATTCCATGCTCGGTAATGGTGGTTCTTTCTTCTTCTTCTTCTTCTTCTTCTTCTTCTTCTGCTCCTTCTTTTTCATTGCATTTCAAGCGTATTGATTATCGCATGCTCTTAGCTTAGTTTTCTACTAGATGCACATTAGACTGATGAAAAATTAGACATTTTCGCTCCACAGTGCTCAAGCGGTTCCAAATGGAGTCTAGATTAGCCTCCCAAGGTTTGAACTGATTTGGTAAGAAACTTCAAATGGTTTGTGCCAAGTCAATTTCTTACTAAATGAGTTCAAATTTTGGGAGGCTAATTAGGATCCAAATAGGAACCGTTTGAACACTGTGGAGCGAAAGTTTAAAATTTTGCATCAGTCTAATGCACATCCTCAGTTATTAATTGAGAGCTTTCGATGCCTGTACCATTTTTGCATTAGTATAATTGTGTGACATGTCCAATCATACTCTATGCCCAGCGAAGTCGAGAAATTTTCCAACCCGTAAAATTCCTAGAACGGACTGGGAATCGAACCCAGCCGCCTTCAGCATGGTCTTGCTTTATAGCTGCGCCTTTACGGACTGAGCTAAGGTAGGCTCTCTATAATGGAATCAAGTTGAATAAGGACTCCATATGTTTTACCGTCTTAAAATCTTATCATAACAGGCAAAGATCATAATGCAATTCCACCTTGAATTTCTTTGGCCCACTACCGATTATAATCCTTACTGCTTCGTAAAAAAAATCAGCGGAAAAGAACCAACAACATCCATCGACGAGCTTCGATTTGTAAAACACTTACAGATACTTATTTATTGAATGGATCCCTCTTCGAGGTTAGTGAAATGCTGACTTGATTCCAATATTGAGGGTTTTCCTCGCATGAGCTTTGTTGATCCGAAAGCATTCAACCTGCATGAGTTTTCTTTCAGAGCATTGATGACAAATCCGAATACTTCGTTCATTTCGTTTATTAGATTGCATTCAGCCCTACATGGTATGAAATTTGTTTTTTATCACCAAACGTGTTTCACGTGTCATATTTTATTTCGAAAAGACCTTATTGATATACTGGCAGCTTATTAAGTCGTAACAATTATGGATATATTATTTACAGCTTACAGATCGTGAAAATGGATTTAGTAGAAACGATTGTACTGTCTATTGAAGCCTCCAAATCCGCTGTAACTCCTACCGATGGCGTTATCCTCCGCTGCAGGGAGATAGGTGTTTGTGGGTCCACAGAATGTTTTGGTAACCGCCGGAAGAGTTACAGTTGAGTAGATGGTTTGGGCATCGTACTGCACTCCAGGAATAGTGTTGGTTACCGTACGAGTGATGTATTGGACGTCGCGGAGGGTTGTCGTGGCGTAATTGGTTATGATTTGATCTCGACCGGGCAAGGTTACGGTGGAGTAGATAGTTTGGTATTGTTGTGGAGGTGGAGGCAGTGTAATGGTTTGGGTGTTGGTGACGGTTCGGTAGACTGGCGTTGGAACGTTGTTGACGACGGTGGAGACGATGGTTGCTGGCGGCAGGGTGACGGTGTTGTAGTAAGTTTGTCCAGGAAGAGTGACCGCAGGAAGGGTGACTGTGTCACGGACGGTCTGAACGATGGGTTGGGTCGTGGTGATATATTGTGTTGAAGTGCGGATTTGGGGTGGTAGTTGCACTGTGGAGTAAACTACCTGTGGGGGTAAGGTAACCGGAGGAAGAGTGACAGTGTCAACAACGCGCACAGTTTGAACAACCGGGACGGTAGCGGTGCTGACAATTGTTGAGGTTCTAGTAACCGGTGGAAGCGATACGGTATCGTAGAAGGTTTGTGCCGGTAGAATTTGAGGAGGAAGGGTAACGGTGCTGAACTCTCGAATGGTCTGGTAGACGGGAGTTGCTTGAATGTAGGTTGATGTGTAAGTGGAGACGACCGGTGGAAGTGTGACGGTACTATACTGAACTTGGGGAGGTTGGGGTGGAGCTGTGACAGTGAAAGTATTAGTTCTCGTCACGGTTTCATAGACCGGAACGGTTTGCGTGTACGCCGAGGTGATGTAGATCGAGGAGTATTCTGTTATGGTTTGCTCATCGTATTGGATTGAGCCCTGGACGGTTTCGTAGCGAGTTTGGTAGTCAGTTTGGGTGCGGGTAAGGTACAAGGTTTGCGGTGGTCCGAATTCGCAACTAGGCTTCGGGTAATGGTATCCGTTGAACTGCTCAGCCTGGGTAGTTGCAACCAGTGCAACTATGAGGAATGCGGCAATGCTCTGAAAGTATAGGAAAGGGTGGGTGGTGAATTATTGGAATTATATGTGGGAACGATGAACGAGAGGGTAGTACTTGTATTAATTTTTTGTGGCCGTCTGAATCAGAATTCGATCCAAATTTGTAAAATGTTGTTGCATCGTTTTGCAATAGGATGCAATAATAAATATGGAAGTTACAGCGAATTGGGAGTGACGAAGTCTACAATATCTTCATTTGGGTGCATTCGTGTATTCAGTGATTTATCTATAATTTGGATACACGAGATCACTGACATGTAAGTTTTACGCAATTACGTGAAATGTGAAATTACGCTTCAACAATTTGACTGAAGTCAACACACATAACAATTTGACGAAGTGAACACACAAAACAAAGAAAACATCAAGCAGCTGCAAATGTTTCGCTTTGCTCAAATATTTAACTGGCGCTCTCGTACTGTGGCTATTTTCGTTTGCAATCCGTTAGTGCTAAATAGTGTGCTATAATGCGCGGTACACTAGGCTTAAATATATGCAATAACGGAATTCTCGACTTGATTTGGAAACTCTTGCATGGCAAAATCGGTTTATTTTTGTACAGATTATTGACTTTTTAAACATGATCGATTCACGATTGACCCAGCTGGAACATTAGAAATTTGATAATCTGATGCTATAAGAAGATTAATTAATTAATTACTTAATTTATCTTTATTAGGGAGACTTTCAGCCTGGGGCTGGTTCGCCTCCATAAGAAGATTAATTATTTCTGCCGCTGGATCATTTGGATTTAATGATTCAAACACATGAACATCCCATCATTTTAAAAATGTATAGATTTTAAAATACGACAGAAATTTTTTTGAATTAATTTAAAAAGAGGTTTTGCAAACACGAATCAATGTCTTTTTGAACATTCCGCGGTTGTGGTTGTGAAAAATATTGATCGAACTCAACGATGTTTTTTTAAGAGTACAAGCGACTCGATACGGGTATATAAAAATGGCTTAAAAATCAAATAAAATTTACCAGTTTACATATCTTCTTCTTCCTCGCATTTCAAGTTAATTGCTTATTGCATATTAGCTTATTCTCAACTTTCCACAGTTACTAAATGAGAGTTTTCGATGCCTGTACCATTTTTGAATTAGTATGATTTTGAGTGGCAAGTACAATCATACTCTATACTGAGTCAAGAAATGTTCCAACCCGAAAAAAAATCCTAGACTGGACCGGGAATCGAACCCAGCCACCCTCCGCATGGTCTTGCTTTGTAGCTGCGCCTTTACCGACAGAGCTAAGTGGAGGCCACGATTTACCTATGGGATTTATAATTCGAGTAGGTTAGAATTCAACCTATCAAGTGAAATAAATTTCTTCAAAGTGACTAATGACCCTAAGTTTGCTAAAGATGTTACGAATGACGTTACTTCGCTGACAATCAAATCCAATTTACATCGAAATTGAAGTACAAATTTATCTTACATCTAATGTAAGGTTGGATTAATAAATATGCATTAGAATTGTGCTATAATCAATGGATTCTCCGGTGACGAACCAGCGTTCGGCTGAAAGTCTCCTTAATATAGATAACTATCTAATTAGTTCTATTAAAGCAATCATTTATGAACGGCTTTACAGTGGATTGAGCCAGTTCTTTTAAATTCCCTTGAAAATCCTTATATACATATAGATGTTTCAATACTTTAAAGGAATTTCAGTGACACTTTTGGGGATCCATATGATTTCTTTTGGAGATTTTTGGTCTTTATTTCATTTATATTTAGCCCTTTTTTGACGATTCAGAACGCCATTACGATGTTAAGGCCATGTGGAATGTTTTTGATGCCATTTTTTGTGATTCTAGTCCAGGGCTTCTGAAATATGTTTTTTTTTGTCTTCGATTTTCAGTTGTTTGGGCGTTTTTAAAATACACTTAAGCGGTTTAAGGCCATTTAAACCCTTTCTATGTGTTTCTATAGCAAGTATTAACAAGTTCAGCGTCATTTTGGTAATTCTAAATAAATTTTGGTAAATATTGGTGGATTTAAAGCTGTTTTAGTGGTTCTACCCAGACAACCATAACTCGTCTAACAATGCATAGAATCGTTAAATAGCATAGATTAAGGCCAAATCTATATATGAATTTCTGTCTGTCTGTTTGACCCTTATAGACTCGGAAACTTCGGAACCAATCGGCGTGAAAATTTGTATGCAGGAGTTTTTGGGACAGGTAAAGATTCTTATAATGGTTTGAAACCCCTCCCCCTTTGTAAAGGGGGGCTCCCATACAAATGAAACAAAAATTTCTGCATAACTCGAGAACTAATCAATAATCAATAATCAAAATAATGGAACCAAATTTAGCATATTGAGGTCATAGAGGGTAGCCCATTAGATAAGAGGGGGAGGGGGGCTACGTACAATATAGCATGTTTTTTTTAAATTAATTTAATTGCATCGCATAACGTTTTTGTTTTATTTGTTTACGTTTAATTTTTGGATAGTTCAAGAGTATAAATTAGATTGTATAAACTCGAACTTGTCAAACTGAATTACATATTAATTCGTGTATGATGTCACATTGAATCGATTGCAAAGTAATTTTAAAATTGCACATATATGGCCTTCAGCTATTTTTATGCTTTATTTACGAATTGTGAGTAGATATGCTTGCTTGTTTATCTTATCAAAAAAAAACTTTCAAGATTTAGTAGAAACCAAAATAAAGTCAAAACCAAGTCGCATCCACCAACCCGTAAATCGGATGTTTTATGACAAAATGTTGTGTGATAAATGATGTGATGATGATGATGATAGTGGCCTACTACTCAGTGTAGCACGTAAACTAGACTGATAGCTGTGGGCTCTTCTAACCGTTGAACTTGATCAAGCTTAATAACCTCTGATCGCTGTATGAAGGGCCAAAATCAAATGGATGGATTGATAAGCAATTCGCCTATTCATTTTCTTGGAGTTAAAAATCTCCTTCTCTCCTTGGTCAAAACACGAGCCATCCAACAGGAAGATGCCTCAATGAAAGGGGAGAAGAGGCCGCTCTTTATCCACGAAATGTTAGCAACAGGAAGTTGACATATTCACTCTCCCCATCCAAATCACTTTCATTGGGTGCCCTGATGGTCCCACGATTTTTTTTATATAGTAATAAGTAATACAATAATCAGATAATCAGAAGCATAACGGCTTCAAAATTATGCGAGTTGATTGAAATCTGCCGAATATAAATGGGGGCTAAGTTTATTCTTAACATAGAAGCGTAGATGCATAAGTGAAGAATAAGAGAAAGCAGAGTCAAAGGTGTTGACATGCAGAATTAGAAGTCGTCGAGATGCGTGTTTAAATATCGTTGATCCATTTACCTATCACATAAATTTGCATTTCATCTAGTTATGATTATATGACAAAACGTTGTGAGATAAACCACCAAAACTAATGAGTCTAGAGGCTCGACCTGTGAATAGGAATGGACGATTTTGAATGCAAACTAGGAAGATCGATACTCTTGGTTCGATTAATACTTTTTTATTAATCTTGATCCCACGAAAATTTGGCTGGATAGATTCATCAGTAACACAGAAAATTCATGAAATTGTGTAGAGTAATCTTCTATGGGTTTCGTTCGATTTGAAATATTCTACAAATTTGAAACATTTTTTCGCCATCTTCAAAAAAAAAAAAAATGCATCGATCAATATGATCGATTAAATCGGTGAATCGGTTATTTTCTTAAAAGGAGATCGATTTAGGGACATTGATTTTTCCGCAAACATGCACAAAATTACCCATGCGAATCTTTTTAGCCCTGGTCAATTAATATCAAGAAAACGCTTCATATCAGCGAATTAAATCGATGAAACTAAAAAATATTGCATAAAATATGACCCAATCAATGAAAAGCATATATTCCATTTGATTCCACTAAATTAATGCTGGTATCCATGACAGATACGCATTTCGACTACAATGTGAAGTCTTCATCCGTGTCATTCCCACTAAAGAACTTATCAAAACCTATCCCCCTTAAGGACTCATCCCCTAGGTAAAAATGTCAATGAAAAAATTAAACTACAATGTGTAGAATCGGAACATACCTAATTAAAAAAAATCAAAGATTTAAGTAAACTAAAGGAGAAAAATCGATACAAGTCTCCAATAAGGAAAAATTTCAAAGGCTTGGTAGCCATCATAATGAAGCATTCCGCTAACAACCCAATTTCATTACTTCAATTAAAAGCGCCTTTTGCAGAAGCTTTTGGACAGCATTCGGTAAAATTCTGATCAATGGCGTACGATTAACAGAATCGCGGAATTAATTCATTCATTGAGCCTCCTTGCGAGAATAAACTCGCATGCGAATGCAGCAAGCAAAATTCTCGCTTGAGATTCTCATATATATTCACTCAGTCACACTCACAGCGTCAAAAATCATCCCAGCTTAAAACGCATGAAAACCACTCAATCATCAATTGATAGCATACTTATGCATGTTGTGTTAGTGGTGCACAAACAATAGTAATAACAATGAATAACACCAAACTATATAGGAATGCAATACAGTAATTTCAAGCACAATTTAAAGATTCATAATCCGTTAATAAATTGAACAAGGAATGGGAAAAATAAAAATTATCAATATGTAGTTTTTCGCCCCTTTTAAGATTAAATCCCAAGTCAAAGCTCGTATTCGAATCATGTCATATTCTTGTTCAGTGTTCTCTAAAGAATGTTCTCTGAAAATTGAAAGCTATTTCGTATAATAGTTAAAAAAAAAGTTAGAGGTGTTTATGTGTGCCATTTCTATCGAATACGCTCTTTATTAAAGAGAACACATACTATACATGCTAAACAAATATGCTACTTAAGAAAATAGTGTTTAATTTAAGCATCAAATTGTGCCCATACTTTCTGAAGCATCCTATAATTTGATTTTCTTAATTAAATTTCAGAAGTCTTCTGAAATAAAAATCTATTCTTTTGAGTTATGTGAATTTCAGCCGATGTGCAATCAAAAACTAATCAAATTTTCACTAACTGGTGTGCTATAAAATCAGAACACATCTTGTTCTACTCGAGAAATATCTCATAGTCTTTGTGTTTGACAATAAGTTCAATGTTAACAATTGAAATCCGTCAATTTACAATTTTGCAAGTATTTCTTAGAACTCCTGAACAGTCATATAGTTTCAGATGAGACTATTATTTAAACTGTAGCCTCTGCAAAACATCAATTTTAATGAAAAAAAAAACATACCGTGAGTAAGCTAACATGTATCCAATTTTTAACCGAAAAACTAGATCTTTTTTAAGATAATTTTTTTTTATAGTTCGCAAGATGTTTCGTAAAATGATCACTATGTAGGCCTAAATGATAGATCCAGCTATCAGATTAGGATTCGATTTTGTTTAATTATAGTTACATTAACACTGTGAGAGTGTGAGAGATTTGGATGTTAACCACTACGCCGAGGCCGTCCTCCTTTGATTCGAAATTTGATTCACATTTCACGTGTCAAATGAAAACAATTCACTCCACTCTGTGGTGAGTCTTCCGAATCCACTGTTCTTTTCTCAACATGCCATTTGCACTTGTTCATGAATGCTTCATCTCAACGTATCTCCTCTCCTGCACTCCTTCTCGACTCACCATTGCTTCTATTTGTTTATTCAACTCCAGCAAATCTAAATTTCACTTTCCGTGAGACACTTTCAGTCCGTCCAAGGACGATTGATTACACAACCCAACCAGTTGTTTTCACTTGTCTGTTTGTTTTTCCTCCAACGTGAACCGCACGCAGCAGCCTTGCGAGAACAGTTAACACCGGTATTCTTCTCCACTGACAACTGATCACTGATGATCAGATTTCACACCTTTAGCACTTGTCTCGGATTCTCGGGCACCGATGTGCTCGTCGCCCACTAGGAAAAGATGAAATACTCCCCGGATGTGGTACAGTGAAACGATATCACTGCGATGATTCTACTCAGTTGCTAGATTTGAACTGATCATCATAGTTATGGCAGTGGGCTTATTTATATCTAATTGGTCAAGAAGCTTCGCAAGAGTGCAGAAAAGAGCCAACAGTAGCGCCGGCGGTAGTGGCGGTGATGGCGGCTGCGATGCGGATCAAAAGAAGTTCCCCGAGATGCGAAGTCTCTGGGGAACACCAGTTTGCGGAAAAGAATGATTAATTCATCGTGCAGGGTTGTTTGTGCTGGGGTCGATAGTAAAATTTACTTAACTGTGAGTCTGTGTTTGATGCGAATGTACACGCATTTGCGTTCAGAAGAGTAGATCAGTTTGTTTTTTTTTAGATTTGAGTGGAGTTTGAGAAACGTATACACAGCAAAATCTTTGTAAATTTTCATTTGGCATATGATGTATTTTCTGCCCTTAGTTGAGACACAGCAAAACATATTAATTTTACTTGATAGTATTTGATATTATATTCATTTGCATTGAAATTTATGAGTGATGCATGAGGGTTTATGTTATGCATGGATGTAAAAAGTTCGATTGAAATTGATTCAATTTCCTACCATGTATGAACTTGATTGAATTTCAGATAGCGAAACGTGTAATTTTATGTTTAAAAAAACCTGCTCCAGTTGGTAGTTGAAATTTGCAAAATATTTCCAAATTCTATTTGCCTGGATTCCATTCGCCTGAATTTAATTCGCCCAAATTTTATTCGCTCGAATTCCATTCGCTCAAATTCGATTCGCCCGAATTCCATTCGTCCGAATTCAATGTACGTGGTCAATATCTATATGGATCAAGCTCTTGAAAGAGGTAAACAACTTAGTTCGGAATTGACTCACAAGGTGGTGTTAGTGTCTGTAGCATACTTCGTTTTATCATCTTTTATAGAATACATTTTCATGTGTTAGAAGAAGGATGCGGTCTTGTGCAATGTTGTTTATATTGCAAAGGCCAACAGTAGAGCGTAGTTTTTAGATCAGAACTTTCCAGGACCTAATGGGTGGATCTAGTGTTCATGGCCCGAATTCCATTCGCCAGAATTCCATTCGCCCGAATACCATTCGCCCGAATTCTATTCGTCCGAATTCCATTGGCCCGAATGCCATTGGCCCGAATTCCATTCGCCCGAATTCCATTCATGAACACTAGATCCACCCACTAGGACCTGGAAAGTTCTGATCTAAAAATACGCTGTAGTGTTGGCCTTTGTAATCTAATCTACATTGAAGAAGACCACATCCTTCTTCTAACGCATATCATGAAAATGTATTCCATAAAAGATGATAAAACGAAGTTTGCTATAGACACTAACACCATCTAGTGAGTCAATGCTGAACTAAATTGTTTACCGTTTTCAAGAGACTGATTCATTTTTTCCTTGATTTGTTTTCCGTGCTGAACCGATGCCAGGGAGGCAGCTCTCACACCTAGACCCTACCTATCGACCCATCAACTCATGAACCGAGGATTGATCTATAGAACTATTTTGGTAAAGATATGTATACTTTTTGAGCTCAAGTTGCTCGATAGTTATAAAAAAAGTAACAGATCTATAAATAGACCACTTGGCGTTAATGGGTTAAGAGAGATGCAGAAAACTCTACGACCACTGATAAATGGCACGGGAATTGAGGATGCATGTTAGTAGAGAAGGCAAGCGGTGTTACTGGCAATAGTGCAATGTGAAATTTTTGGTCTACCTGAATCCTATTTGAATGCTAGTTTGTGTCAACACATTATGTTCCATCACGATCACGGCATCTTTTATTTTTGCTTAACTATAACACAAATCTCTCGCGAATAAAAGTTGATCTCACGCACACGCCTAATAAAATAGATCACGCGCGGTCGATATCATGTTCGACATTCACTTAATCAAAAGCGTTTCTGAAATCATCGTAGATTCTTGCTCTTTAACCACCGACGAACCAACATGCCACTGGAGCATTTCGTTTGTCCACAATTTGATTTGTCAAATGAGCGATTCGATCTGACAAACGAGCAATCAGATCTGTCAAACGGAGCGAGACGCAAACCAAGTCAATAAAATTTTTACGTGTTTTCGTGTCCCTGCTCACGATATGACGCGATCGGATATCATACAGATGGCGGTAGTGTTTAACGTATTTTAAATATGGCATCTTGGGCAAGAATTTGAATGTAGCTTGTATGAGCTGGCACGTCGGTTCGTCGGTGCTTTAACCCCATGACGCACCGTAGCAGGCACTAAGGAAGACCCTTATCCGTCTGACACGGTCGTGCTGCATCCTGAATTGAGGATGCATGTTAGTAGGGAAGGTAGTAGGGAAGTTTGTGTCAACACATTATGTTCAACCACGATCGCAACATCGATTATTTTTGTTTTTCTATAACGTACAAAGCTCTCGCAAATAAAAGTTGATCTCCCGCTCACGTGCGGTCGATATCATATTCCACATTCACTCAATCAAAAGCGTTTCTGAAATCATCATAGATTCTCGCTCTTTGATCCCAGGACGTCTTCGGAAGGGAAGTAAATCTGTTGGTCCCGGCCCATGTGTATTGAATTGCATGGGTGCGATATCCTACGCAGGTGTGGAAGCTGCCTTCCTGCGCATTCGATTGCCGTCAATGGATGGCAATCGAATGTGCAGAAAGGCAGCTTCCACACTTGCGTAGAGTATCACATCTATTCAACACACTTGGGCCGGGACCAACGGCTTTACTTCCCTTCCGAAGGAAGACGTGACCAGAAATTTTGAAAAAAAATCTCACCGACCTCGGTTGGGATTGAACCCAGACCCATTGGGGTGAGAAAGCAGTAACGCTTACCACTACAGCACCGGCGCTGGCAAGTCACCTATCTGGACTTCAGATGATGTGACTTTAACCTAGTGAACATGGTCTATTGATTGGTTCTCACTAATTTTCTTCCGTTCTCCTTTCATGTATATTTTCGCCCATTCCTCACAGGTGGCTACTGCTGGGAATGCTCTCTTGGCCCGTTTCTGTCTGCTATCTGCAATATGTTTATGCTTATTGGTGATATCCTGTAGGGGAGCTGCGTAGTTTTCCTTTTCGACTGATTCTGGACGCTCTTTATTCAAAGATATTAATAATATAACATTTACAATACGAATCTAATTATATATAATTCTCTATTATTAACCGTTTTCTACATCTGGTCCACTCAAATCAGTAGTTGAGGCTTCGTTAGAGGTTTCCAAATTAGTTTCAACAACTATGTCGAATTATGACTTTGCTGGTAAAATATATTTAATGTTATAAGATTAGATTTAAAATAAACTAAATTGGATTTTTGTTATCAACCTTCTGCAGTATTCAATACTGCATTGTTCGAAGTACGACCGGAGTTGTCGGCGAATGAAATATCGGCTCCCTCGATTGTTATAAATGGCGAATCAATTGTCATACATTTCGGTGGGCCTTCGATCGCATCCATTGCATTACGCCAGAGGTAAATTAAACTTGTATATTCCACAGGTCCAGACCAGACAAGATTATTACGGTGTTCTTAAAGTGATGCTAGTTTACTTGGGTCCAACTTCGAACTTAAGCACTGAATGAAATTTTAGATGTTTTTCTTTTCCAGCACTGGACGAACATCATCAGAGAATGATAGATCGTCTTCATGTTGATTTTCTGGTCAAAACTGTTCCGGAGACGATGATGGTTTATCGCAAGGATTCCGAAATGATTGATAATAGATTGCATTTGCATCGAATTATTAAAATTTACGAAGCCCATTGATCAATGAAGATTCTTTGCTAGTCATACCGTCTAACGCTTTCTCTAAAAGTGGAGCAAAATTGGCTCTGGAAATCATTGCCCCATCATTTTCAAATCACCACTTTTTTAACTCTTCTTGCCACGCCTTTTTCAAGGGAGCATAAAAAGCTACATCGAGTGGTTTTTTTTTTTAATAATTCGTTTATTTTTCCAGGCTCATTTACATCGAGTGGTTGTATCCCATGGGTGGCATTCGGAACAAGTGATACCAAAATTATGTTTTTCTGCTTTCAGAACTCCACCGTCTCGAACGTAGTGTGTGATAAATGGTAATCAACAAATAAAATTATGGGAAATGCAATTTTGAGTTTAACAGCCCACGGATAGAACACCTTCGAGATAAACTCGTAGAATGTAGTAGAATTTGCTAGCTCCGAGTGACGCTTCAAAAACCGGCTCATCCAGCCGCAAGTTTGGACTGTATCCTTAAACGCATTTCCTTATAGAACGATTCCGCCAATTTTCCGTCATATGAGATAACCTATCAACACGAATTCAAATTGAAAACCCAAGGGAGAACCATAACATTTAAAAGTATGATTTGGAAAACAAGTGACGAAGAATGGAAGAGACTATTATCTTACCACACAGGTACATAGGGGAGAACAGTACATAACGCACCCCCGGGGTAGGACGCACTCTTTCATTTTATTTTGAGTTTTTCTTGGAATTTTCATTTATCATGCAGGATTTTGAGTTCAGATGCTATGCTAGAAGTGCTGCTTGATAAGACCACAAAACATTTACGTAAAAGCCATGAAAAACACAAATTAAAGTCAGCTGGTGCGATCTGCCCAGGGGGTGCGTTGTATACCATTGTCCCCTACTTGCTATTCGCCTACAGGAAAACCTGCCGTGGCCATTTTCCTCAACCGTGAACGCAGGAAGAGCTCCTTTTTTACGAGAGCAGCTATTCAATACGGCATCTCTTATGGTGGTGAATGGAACGGAAAAATCCCTGGATGCTTCCGGTAAGATTTTCCCGCACGCACCATTGCCACCGCCTTCTCCAAATCCTCCGGCGTATATTTAGCTTCCATGATCTGCTGAAAAACATTGTATAAAGTAGAATCGTTATTTTTATTGCACATGTGTACGGATTTAGAATCAGCTGTTAAAT